GATTTTTTTTGTAAAAATCAATAAATAAAAATAAAATAAATAAAATTTACCTTTTGTTTTATTTCCACTTTATTTTAATTTATATAAATTTTTTGATTTAAAAAGTGTCCGCATAATTTTGGTCGTTGACTGTATATTTTTTTCTTTACTTTGGTCTCTTGTTCCTTTGCATCACTATAAAAAAAATTTTAATTAGTATTAAAATTCTGATAAAATAATCACAATAATAAAATAATAGGTTATGACTAACGTAACCAAAAATTTACTTTTTTTTTTATAATTACGAATCCACAAATGAGACAAATATAAAATATTTCAACCTTTGCCATTAATGTAAACTCGATTGTTCGTTCCAGAATTCCATAAATAATAGGACTGGGAAACTCGCAAAATAAATTTTCACTTAGGTTAACGCTTTTTAGAAATAAGGAATTAGTTTCATAGATTTTTGCCAATTAATATTGAAAAAAAATTCTCATGACATTTTGAAAATTATGTAAATCGTTTTAATAATTTTTGATTTTCATAATAGGAAACTTCGATAATTCTATTTACTATACGTAGAAATTTGTGCAACATCTTGCACAGATTTGATTAATTTCCATCTCATTAGGTAAGTTTATTCTCGTCATTTCGAAAATAGAAATTAAACAAAAATACAAATTATAATAGAAAATTTATATATATATACATCATACTGTATTTTATTCACATCTAATAACTTTCTTTATTTTACAACAGAAATAAAGAATTTTTAAGCTTTGCTCATTATTTTGAAACGAAGCAAACAAAAAAAAAATTGAAATGAATAACATTATTATATTAATTGGAATTTTCTTGACCTTGGCATCATTCGTACAGTCAACTCCATTGGAATTACAAAAACGTCAAGACCAACTTAGCGGCTTTAAAATTTGCGATGGCAATTATCCAGTCACAATTAATACATTCACCTGTAATCCAAATCCTATTATCCTTGGGCACAATCTTGCACTCCGATTCGCTGGTGTAGCAAATGCAGCTATTGAAGATGGTTCAATATTAAGTTTTTATCACCAAAGTGGTAATGCTGAACTTGTACAAGATTTTTGTAAGGATTATGCTGAACAAAGTGCATACAAATGTCCAATTGTGGGGTCTTTCGACTTGACTTCAATTGTATTTTTGGATAGTCCTCCTGATGAACCTAAAAATGTTACTGAAAAGCTATATACTAAAATTATACGTAAGTATATGACCAATATTTTTTTTTTTTTTTAAAAAAAAAATTTGTATAATAATTATTTTGCCCGCCAATTAATAATTTTTTTTATTGTTATTAGTTTCTAATCCAGATGGAACAAATTTGTTTTGTATCGAGGGATATGCTGTAATTTACCATCCCTGATTTATTTTTACGTTTTTTAAATTTTATGTCAAAATTATAAATGTAAATACTGATAAAAGTTAATAAAACGAATGATTGCAATGAAATTTTTAATTATAAAAATATTTGTCCGCCGTTTAAAGTTTCTTTTATGTTCTTTATTTTCATATTTATACATACAAAGTTAATAAAAAACCAAATCAAAACTTACAGTTTAAACATGTTAAGAACGAGTAAGCCGGACGATGGACAAGTTACGATTCTGAAAAAAATAAAAAAATAAAAAAATAAAAAAAAAGTCATCTCCGCGTATCCAGAATACGTACAATAGTATCATTTTTAGAAATCAATTCTTATTACATTGAACATCGATATAATAAATATCTTCATTATAATTTCTGAAGAATAAATATAACAGGAATTCTAAATTCATTTCACTGCGATTATAAACGAAAAAATACATACCGTCATTTTAAAATATTTTTTCGATTATAAAATCACATTAAGAGCTACTTTAAATTTCTGCAGTGAATCGAAAATATATATGCCATTATTCTAAATTTTTTATTCATATGTAAACTCAAAATGATTTGATCTATATTTAATATATATGGAAATCCCTCATGAAGAAGCCTACAAAAAGAAAAAAGGGCAAAGAAAAAGAACGGTGCATGATGCATGTTGATTCTTATTTTAGCTTCAAATAAAGATTTAATCAATCGCAATTTGATTTATTTACTCGCGCGAATTATTATTCTACTTTCAATCATTACAAGAAAATTATTTAAGCTTCTTTTCATTTCGAATTATAATGCAATTTTTTTAAAAAATGAATCGAATAATAACTTTAGTCTGTGTTTTCGCATCAATCATCAAATTTACTCCTTTGAAATTGTGATAACGTCAAGATTCTTCCACCGACTTTAAAAATGCGACAGCTACTACGCAATAAACCTCACTTCAATTTGTCATAATCCAATTGTTCGATCGTGTTCTATTAGTTCCAGGGCATTGTGATTTTAAGATTTTATTTTGTTAGTACTTTTTTGTAGATCGTAGTCCTGGCCAATAAAGACAATTAGATCAGAAACAATAAAATCTAACGTTATTATTTGGCTAATCAGCGACAAGGAACCAAAAAAATGAAAAAATAAAAGGCGAAGTATCCGTTGGAGATTAATGCAAAAATAAAGAAATAAAGTTAAGTGAAAAAATGTCATTTTTTTTTTACTTTTGATAAGATATTTTACTGTTTACTTTTAGATATTTCGGATAATAAAATTTTTTGGATCATAAAAAAAGGTTTTTTATTACAAAAAAGTGAATTTAAAACGACATTATATTAATGGGGTAATTCTCTAAAGTAACAACCCGTTATAAATCGAATCAGTTGATTAGCTACATCGAATCGATTACTAACTCTAAAGAATAAATACTAAAATCAAAGAGTAATTTCGTGAGCAGATCGCACACTTAGGAAAAAAGAACCCGAATTAGGAAGAAAATAACCTGAGGATTATACTCTACGTTAATTTTTAAAATTTAAAATCTATTTGGCGTAATTATGTCTTCTATTTATTTTTATTTTATTTTTTTAAAGATAATCGTTTAGCAAGCATACGTACATCAAAAGGTCAATTCATAAAGCTGATAGATTTTGGTAAATTATTTAATACATTATTGCTGGTCGAGTTTCATTTGAATTAATTTTTTAATTAAACAATATCGATATGAAAATTTTCGAAATCGCATCATAAAATCAAGTTTATGAAATTTCTGCAAATAGCGATTCATTCAAATTTTTACTTGCACGAAATTCTATATTTAATTTTACACAAAAAAAAGGTTCTTTTCAAAAAAGGGAATTAAATAAAAAATTCTTTACAGAAAAATAATATATTCGATTATCATCGGCATTGACGAAAATAGGACATTTTTTCCAATCAATGGTCAATAACAATGATACTTATTAAATTCAAATTGAGATAAGCATGCTCTAAGCCACAAAAGAATTTTCGGGAGAAAATGAAATAAACAAATTTGATACAAACATTACAATCTGATTATTTAGATCTGCTATATATAGATTTAATCTTTCGCGTAATCTTTTTTTTTATCTTAGAAAATAAAACAAATTAATATACTATTTCCAATTGTTGTTTCAAAAAGGAATTTTATTTTATTTTTTTTTTTTTTGTGACTCATCCTTGCGATCTACATACTGTAATATTGTTTTCAACGGTTACTTCTACTTTTGGATCTTTATTAATTATAAATAAAATACTGTAATTATATAGATATTTTCTATTTCCATTTACCATTCTCATTAAAAATAAATTTTTTTTTATAATATGGAGTTTCAATGTACAATAAAAAAAAAAATAATAATAAAAAAACATCGGATCAGCTTTATTATAAGAACCTTTTATTTGGCATTTGGCGTTTTGGGATTCATTGTTTGCCTCCAAAAAAAGATTTTTTTTTTTTTTTTTTTTTTTGGTCATTTGATCTCATACCTTTTATTATACAAAATCGATAATTAATTCTTCATATTTCAAAGTATCAAAGACCTTTTGATTTGTAGATTCAAAAGGTAAGCAGGTTTTTGAAAAGTAGACCAACTATTATTTACATGGTATTTCCATGATCTCAACATACATCATTCTTTACTTTTAAATTGGCTAATTCTAAGGTGGTGAAAATCCTAAAAAAAATTACAGAACAAGAATATATTAGTTTATCACGTTTTTAATCACAAAGGATTTTCTTCTTTATCGATTTACTATATGTAGAAATTCGGCAACATCTTGCATGGATTTGATCATTGATTAATTTCCATCTCATTAGGAAAATATGTCTTGACTGCATGATGTAAGTTTATTCTCATTGTCATTTCGAAAATAGAACATACAATGAGAAATTAAAAATAAAAATATATATATACAGTACATCCACATTTTTTAAGAATTAAAAGAATTTTTAAGCTCTGTTCATTATTTTGAAACGAAGCAAACAAAAAAAAAATTGAAATGAATATCATTATTGGTTTAATTGGAATTTTCTTGACCTTGGCATCATTCGTACAGTCAACTCCATTGGAATTACAAAAACGTCAAGAAGACCAACTTAGCGGTTTTAAACCTTGCGATGGCAATTACCCAGTCACAATTAATACATTCACCTATAATCCAAATCCTGTTATCCTTGGGCACAATCTTGCACTCCGATTCGCTGGTGTAGCAAATGCAGCTATTGAAGATGGTTCAATAATAAGTTTTTATCACGATCAAAGCGGTATTCCTGTACATGTTGAAAATTTTTGTAATGATTTTGTTGTACAAAGTGGATACATATGTCCAATTTTGGGTTCTTTCGACTTGACTTCAATTGAATTTTTGGATAGTCCTCCTGATGAACCCAAAAATGTTACTGAAAACCGATATACGAAAATGATACGTAAGTATATATGATATGATATGACCAATATATATATATATTTTTTTTTTAAAAAAAAATTGTATATAATTATTTTGACGTCAATTAATAATTCTTTTTTTATTGTCATTAGTTTCTAATCCAGATGGAACAATTTTGTTTTGTATGGTGGGATATGCTGTAATTTACCACCCTGATTTATAATTTGCTTTTGTTTTTAGTTTCATATTTCTTTACAGTTTTTAAATTATAAATTATTTTTATGTCAAAATTTTAAATGTAAATACTGACAAAGTTAATAAAACGAATGATTGCAATGAAATTTTTTAATTATAAAAATATTTGTCCCCATTTAAAGTTTCTTCATGTCATGTTCTTTATTTCATTTTTATACATCCAAAAGTTATTAATTAATAAACCAGATTCATAAAATCAAAACTATCAGTTTAACATGTTAAGAACTAGCCAGACAATGAACAAGTATAGATTCTAAAAAAAATAAAAAAATTCGGCTCCGCAATTCATACATGCCACATATGTTATCCATCCAAAATGCGTACAATAGTTATCATTTTTAGAAACTGGACAAATTATATCAATTCTTTATTATAATGAACATCGATATAATATACGCATAATAAATATCTTCATTCGGAAGAAAATATTACAGGAATTCAAAAAAAAACATCACGATATACCGATATTTTAAAATAAATAATAAATATTTTTTTCGATTATAGAATATTATGATAAAAATGATACTTTAAATTTTGTGCATATATTTGGAGGGAACCGAATATATTTAAGGGCATTATTCTAATCGTTTTAAATTTAATTTTTTATTCATATTTGCTTTTAATATCTAAGTGGAAACTCAAAATGTAATAAAATCATGATCGGTCAGATGATTTATATTTACAGTATAGTGAAATCCCGCATGAAAAAGCCTACAAAAAAAAGGCAAAGAAAACGGTGCATAATGCATGTTGATTCTTATTGTAACTTCAAATAAAGAAATTAAGCAGTTACGATTAGAAAAATTTAATCAATTTATTTACTCATTGAATTGTATTCTACTTTAAATTATTACAAAGAAATTTTTTAAAGCTTCATTTTAAATTATAATATAAGCAATAAGCAATATTTGAAAAAAAAAATGAATCGAATAATAAGTTTAGTCTGTGTTTTCGCATCAATCATCAAATCAACTCCATTGGAATTGTGAAAACGTCAAGATTTTTCCATGGACTCACAAATATCGAGAATGAGAAAGAGCATTTTAATAAGTTCGTTTATTATGGTGGACTTTAAAAATGTGATAGCTACTATGCAATAAACATATTGTTACGATAAAAAATTTTTTTGAAGCTTTAAAGAGATTAAATTATCATTTACTTCAAAAGCAAATTATGTGACATTGAATTTTTTAAAATTCATATTTAAAAAAAGGTCAAAGCAAAAAATAAACTTAGTTCATGTGAAATTTAACCCCAACTTCTGATTTATAGTGAGACATTCCTCGATTCCTCTCCTCCCGAGATTAGTTTTCCCAAATCTTAAACGTTAACATTGTTATTGACCCGTCAGTGTCGTAATTAAAAAACCAGAAATCCGAATTAAACCAACCCATCGGGTCAGAGTCACTTTTTCTCAACCTGGTGAAATCCCGTTAGATTGGAAATCAATAATTTTGTTGAACGCAATGAAATTACAAAATATATTTTTTTTTTAAAAAAAAAAATGCCTTTGATCTATCATTCAATCAAAGATTTCAGGATTACGGAGGAGGTAAGTAATAAATTTTTTTTTTTTTAAAGAAATAATGATAAACCCAAGATTCCGGAAATTCAGCATTTACAAGAGAATGAAATATATATTCATTAAAGACATTTAACACACAATTAAGCATTGCGACAGTATATTCATGTTAACTTGACAAATGACAATTTGGCAATTCGGCATTATGGCAGATTATTTCACTGCCGTAATATTTCGGCATAGTCTTAACCAATGTATAATCCAAACCAAATTCCTGATTCAGTCCCATATTTATCGTGAACAAATATCAATTTGGAGGTATATCATAATTCTCTAGAGAAGCCAAAAGGAGTATGGCGATATTTGGGAGTTCTAACTTGAACATCCAAGTAATAAAACGAGAGGAATTGCATTAGGCAAAGCGGATTTCCTAGAAATAATATATTCTACAAATATACAAACAGTAGCTCTTTCGCCGCCAAATGAAGGTTAGATGAATACGTCTCTTCAAAAAAAAAATATCAATAAAAACTTTGATACTTTTCGTAAATTTCTCATACGTGCTAATGTGACTCCAAAGTCTATTAAACCAACTTTGGTATGCACCGAAAGGAATATTAATGAAATGGGACATTACTGAATAGAACTTTTCGGAAGTGTTGTATCAAATTAAAAATTTAATTATTGGCAAATTATATTTTATTTTACTAGTTTGATATATTGCTTGTGAATCTATTCGTTATTTTCCTATTGATGGAATACAGAAAGAACGTTACAATTTACTAAATGATTCATCGTGTCGTGATGAAGGAAAGAAATTAATAATACTCCCTTGGATGAACCGGTAATGAAGCTGAATACCGAACCGATTACGGATTAAGCTATAATTGATAACTTCATGAAAACTATTGCTTATACTACCGCAATCACTTATTTAATAGCTCAATACCCTGAAGTAGAAAAAGAAAGTGATTCAAATATACATGTGATCATAAATTAACATGAGAAGATCTCTAAACTTACTTACTGGCTGTTATTAGAAGAAACTTTCCAAGAAATTTAAGAAGATTTGCCGAAACTCAACTTTTTATGCACATTATGGTATGAAGACTCATTGGACTGATCCTGAAGAATATCATCCTGGATAATCGAGAAAAACCTTGATCCCACTAGAGACCGATTAATTTTTAACCGATTAATTAACCAGTTAAGAGGTAAAATATTTAATTTTAACTCTGGCCGAAATTTTAATTTTCGGGCAGAATTAAAATTTTTTGTGATTACAAAATTTCGCTAGTTTATCCCAATTTTATAGTGCCGGTCTGAGTTAAATTTAGGGTTAATTAACCAGTTATTAACAGAGGATTTTTGGTCCTCTATCCTAACAACAATTTGAAGTTTTTTTTCACGTATAAGAATTTAAATTCGATGTATTTAGGCAGATTCGATTTTACACGCTTTAGCTTAACGTTTTAACGTTTCACAAAATTTTTAAATGGCTAACTATAAAGATGACGATAAAATATTTTTCAGTTGTCGCGTTATTTTATAATAAATAGGGTGATTTGTTTATGTCATGTGAATTTGTATTCAATTATCTGTACCACCTGCAATGCAATTGTGTATATAATTCACCCTGGATAAGTTTTTGTTATTTTTGTTTTTGTGAAAATTTTTTTTCTTCTTTTTTTTTTTTCAATACATTAAATACTACAATAACCTCGCAATATTACACATTTTTTTATTTTTACCAAAGCTTCGGTAAAAGTTCACATTTATGATAGTGCGTGTGGCAAGAAATTTAAGACGCACATGAGGTATTAGAAATAGCAACTAAAGAACGCTCTCGCACTATAGCAAGTATGTTTTCATTTAGCGTGAAAGTTAGAACCTTTTAACACTTTCATTTTAACATGTATCAACTGGTATACATTCATTTTTTTCAGAAATTCAAATCAAAAATTTTATCAAATTTTTTTACGTAATCCTTTTTGAAAATGACCCTTCTGTCGCAAACTCAACTACCATCTTGTTGAGGACTTGATAGATGAAAGTTTTGAACCTAATGGACAGGGTGAGCATCTCTCGTCGAGTCGTTGTGAATATTGATTATTATGACACATATGCTTAATATTTTTATTTTTATTCTTTATTTTTAATACAGAGATCCCCACGACAGGGGAATAGACGTTCATGTAGTCGTTGATGGAACGAGCTTTGTAATACAAAGCAAAAATTGGAGTGGTAAAATATGTATGTATTAATCGACTTATGTTTATTTAGTTTGAGTATGAATTAATCAATTTTGTATGATTATAGTTCCCGCGATAGTGAGGAAAATGGATGGAATGCTCGTTCGACAACCGTCAGACACGTTCGGGGTGATCGTGGCACCTGATATGAATCGATTTACGGCTGGGACTAGGGAGACGACAAGGACGTCACCCTTCGAGATGATTTTGACGACTCGTAGACTCTTAGTTCGTGAGCTGAGAGTAGCTGCCGCTGGTCGGTGGCGAAACTTGCTCATGAGAAGGTTTGTATTACTATTTTTTTTATTTTTGTTTTTTATTTTGATTATTCTTTTTATTTGCACATTGGTGTTATCATTTTATTTATTTTTAATATATATAATCAATCGCATTTACTTTACATATATTATATCGATCGTAAACGAGATTTTTTTTTTTCCAATAAACAGATTGATGAAATTTTACAAAAAAAGTTTTATATAAAAAGAACAACCTTAAGGCGCTACAAATTTTGATATGAAAAGTACATAATCTATTCGAGGCAAATCATGTTCATTAACAATCATTCGGTGTGACGGAACCGCTTTTTAACAAGTAATTATATATAATAAATTCGAATATCTCACTCAATTCATTGTAACGATCGAAGTGAAGGGATTCTATAAAATCAGTTGTGATCTCAGCTAGCTATTCATTTCCAAAATTGTATAAAATTCCTAGAATAACTATACCATTTGCATTCTAAAATAAAAAAAAAACTTTATAACGGTTAAAGGATCTGATCTCAGAATCGAAAAGTTAGAATTTCTCATATTATATAATAGTCATAACGACTATATTCTTTCTCGAACTTCCGGAATTCTGTGTCAATCCAGCGATCGAATAAGGTACGGATAATCAGGAATATCGATTATTCAAACCGTCTACACCGCAAGCCATTCTATTCAAAAGTCCGGGATTTAACCACCCCGGATTACCTTTTGTGATCATCTGGGATCGAATTATGAATTAATCTATGCATTAAATTTTACGAATGCCATATCAACTTTATCACCTTATAACATTTTTCGCATATAACCGAAATTTGAGTTTAAATTTACGCTTAATAATATATGTAATAAATCACAAACATTTCATAAATATCTTTTCAATATTTTATAAATATTACTATAATCTCTATAGGCATTATACTGTTTAAATAGCAATTAAAAAAAATATTTGATATTTGCTTCTGCAATTTTTTAATTTAACATATATTATT